TTTCAACAAAAAACTGTGGATTCCTCCTTTCACCACGTCGCCTTCTAACCCTGGCACGACCATCGTGCATGCCTAAACAAAATCGAGACTCGTCACTAAAGACAATACTGTTCCATTCCTGATCCCAGAGTGACCATTGTCTGCAGCACTCAAGGCGATTACGTCGGTGTTCTCGAGTTAAAGGGAGGACCCAGTGTGGCCGGTATGAAAACAAGCCAAAACTTCTCATTCGTCGGTAAACACTTCGCATGCCAATAGGTCTTCCGTGTTCTGCAAACCATTCATTTGCAATGGACCTGGTAGTAGAAGGCCAATAATCTTAGGCGACGATCTTCACGGTCTGTTGTTCTACGGCGGCGTCCAGTGCCCCTTTGCGTACGGCCTTCTCGAAGCCATGCCTGACAACACCTAACCACAGTGTCTACACTTCTTTGCACTCTAACTGCAATTGCCCGAAAAGAAAGTCCAGCTTCCCGAAGTCCCACTATACGGCCCCTATCAAACTCACTAAGTTGACGAAATCGTACAGGTCTCCGTACTCTAGGCATCGTAACCGATCGTAAAGGATGTCAAGAACCAAAATCCGTCAACGTTGATTCTTTACTGCGGCTGAAATATTCATTTTTAGTGAATTAAAAAAAAGCAGTATAAAAACCGGAATGTCCAACTGATAAGGCTGAAAATTTTTTCACTTGTTATTTACAGTGAGATAAATACATTCACCAACTTTTATTAGAATAAAACGATTTAAACTGTGTGTTCGGATTTATATGTCACTTAGTATATATTATGCTGCACTTCCGGGAAACCTTATACAGAAATTCAGAATAATAATAATAATGATAATAATAATAAATAATAGTTACTTAGGGGGCGAAGTTTAGCATAATGCTACTCTGCCACATGACCCAAAAAAATAAAACTGAGAAAACAGTACAAAAAACATAAATACATTTGATAGGTTACAAGTTTAAAAATGTAGGTGCGTATAAAATATGATGTATTTAACATATATAAGTGAAGGCTTTTTAATGTTTCATGAGTTAAAAGCATATAATTGTAACAGTTATACAAAAAAAGGAACGCTATATTGGAAATATTTTTGAGTGAGGTGACAGATAAATTTTATCAACTAATTTATACACTTGTCTTCAAAATAGATTTCTTCATATTTCTTTTAAACTCATCATATGGTGATGCATTTACGAAAGAATGATGTCCTGTGAAGGGTCGTTGTGAGTGTTTCAATGAATCAATTGTCCTAGAATGAATATTTCTTCTAGATATCAGCATATTTCTCAAAAACGGCAGAATGGATGATAGGTAGGTAGAAGTTCTAAAATAACTGTATATGCATGAATGAGAAGTGCTGAGTCAGTCTACTTGATGACATTTCCTTCTTAATTATGCACATGAGTTAATTTCTTAACTACGGAAGTGTATGAACCAACTTATATTCACCTATAAATACTCCCCAATTATAAACATTCAATCTTACTCTTCCACACCCCTCCCCTCCACCCTTTTCGCGTTAGCCTCGGTCTCATTTTTTCAAACGTTACCGGAGCCAGAAGCTTCTTAATGATGGAGCGTCGCCCACTGGTAACAAAGAAGAAACATTTACAACACCCCACCCCCTTTCAACCAAAATCCTTACATAAAAATAACGACGGCTTGAGTTCGATATGTTCGAGAGGGAAGTGTGTATAGACACATATGTTAGAAAGAGATAGAAGCTGGTTGGATAGCGTAGCTCATCACCGCGTAGTAATCTGCCGCGTTGCTAATATGTTACACTAGCTTGAATTGAGATGCTTGTTAAAAATATGCGTTAGTTTATTCTATACGCCCAAATAATGGTTTTATTTTGAGCGTACACATTTTTGGATTGCGAGTTGTGTCATATCTGTTTAGGATCGATTCCGGATTGGTCCTAACTGGTCTCCATTTTAGGTCGAAATGAAAGATCAGATTCGCCATAAATTCAGCAACATTGCGTCATTGGTTCGCCTGGCAACACCGCATCTTGTACATTCCAAGGCAATGTTTCCACCTCCACGATATGATTTTTACCTGCGTACACGCAGGCAATGATAATTTGTGTTGGGTAATGGTATTTGTTACATTTTCCGACCGCTGGTTGTCGCAAAACGCGACAATAACTCAGGGTGTGTTGATTTTATCAGCATCGGTCGAAATCAAAGATAATTGTAAAATAAATTGAAACACTAAGTCGCATCAAAATTGAAATAAATAACTCTAATCAAAATGGAAACAAAATATTAAATTAAATGTTCGAACAGACCTCTTTCTTGGGTTTGACAGTAACCTAGCCTATTGTAGAAAAGCCTGGTGTAGCATATTGACAACGCGGCAAGTTGCACGACCTTCTGTGTCACCGTTGCTAGGCAACGTGGTTATGTCTTTCGCTCTTCAGCTGGCTTCTATTTCTTTCTAACATGTGTTGATACACATTTCTCGGGCTTCTCTCTCAAGTCTTCAGACAAATTTGGTTCTTCCTGTAATCAATGACCGTACGCAAACAGCATTTGAGCACTCGATTACTCCAAAGCGCAATCTACCAAACTGGACTAATCTTTGATATTTTAGGCTTTATTACCGTGATCACGTCAATGCTAATGTAAAAAAGAACTTATCCTAGTTAACTAGCTATTACTCCAACTAAAAATAGCTGACTTGGAGGGTCAACGACAATTAACGTGGGTATCCCTGTAACCCCAATATCGTGACCGTAGAGATACCCGTTTAGTATTTGCCGTTGGCGTTCCAAGCACCTTCCCAGTCCGCCGGTATTCTTTGTCTCCGTTGAATGTTCAGCTTTGTGCCTGCCCGCGCCGCTATCGTCACGAACGATGTTCACCAGCAGGTAAGATTATTTAGAAGCTTCTTCCATGGTTACCCTATCGATTCCTGCAAGAAACAAGATCCATTAATCTTTTTTTGTTTAGAGAACGTCTGTAATCCTGGTCACGTTAACAAGTGATTATCAGCATGACTTTCAACAGAGATTTATTATTATATTTATTATCATTGGTGTGTTATCATAATGAAGTTGACATGAGCTGCAAACTACTTTGGGTGAAAGTTACAGAACCTATTTGATATCCGAGAAATAACCCCTGCCGGCTTTCAGTTTCACCGTACTTCATTTCATAAGGTATATGTAACGGGTGATTTTTTAAGAGGTATAGGATTTGATTTAAAAAAAAAAACACAAAAAATTTGAAAAAACGATTAAATCTTTGTTTGAGTCGATAGAACGGTCGATATAATTTAATGTTTAAAGATTATTTCAGGTAAATGTTGGCCGCGGCTCCGCTTTGGATGGCCCATGCGCAAGGTCCAATTTTGGTACACTCTCTCCAACATATCGGCCGGTATCTCACGAATAAATGGCTTCCAGTGCGTCAATCGTTGCTGGTTTATCCCTAGACATTGGCCTTAACATGGCCCCACAAGAAATAGTCCAACGGCGTTAAATCACACGATCTAGGCGGCCAATTGACGGGCCCCAAACGTGAGATAAACTGTTCACCGAACTCGCCTCTCAATAGGGCCATTGTTTCGTGTGCGGTGTGGCATGTGACACCGTCTTGTTGAAACCACATGTCAGCCAAGCCCAGCTCTTCCATTTTGGGTAAAAAAAAGTTTGTTATTTTACGTTATTGTCGTCTTTAAAGAAGTACGGCCCGATGATGCCACCGGCCCATAATCCACACCAAACAGTGATTCTTTCGGGATGCATCGGTAGCTCTTGCAATGCTTCTGGCTGGTCTTCACTCCAAATGCGGCAATTTTGCTTGTTAACGTACCCATTCAACCAGAAATGAGCTTCGTCGCTAAACACAATTTTTCGATAAAAATGTGGATCTTCCTCCAACTTTGCCAGCGCCCATTCACCAAATGGGACCCGTTATGGGAGGTCGTGTGGCTTGAATTCTTGCACCAGCTGTATCTTATAAGGTTTTACACCCAAATCCTGTCGCAAAATTTTCTACGTAGTGGAGTAACAGAGGCCCAATTGCTGCGAACGGCGGCGAATCGACATTTCACGGTCATCACTAACACTGGCGGATACAGCCGCAATATTTTCTTAAGTCCTCACTCTACGTCTGCGTGTTGGTGGTTTAATGTCCAAAAATGTAAACTGGGTTGGAAATTTAGTCACAAGCATCCGAATAGCTCCTTCAGTAGGCCGACCAAATTGCCCATAAATTGGAAGCAGTGCTCGATGCACTCTCTTAACCGAGCATGAATTTTGATAGTAAAATTCAATAATTTGCAAGCGTTGTTCGTTCGTAAGTCGATTCATGGTTAAATTATAGACCAAACTGAACAAGTTTGACAATGACACAAGGCACGATTCACGCGTCATCTGTCAAAAACAGTGTTGCCAAAAAGATACTAGCAAAAAAATCACCCATTATTTTGCACTGAAGAACATGTGCGTACTTTATTGATTCATGTTGGGGACGTAATTTGGTGATACGATGCACTTTCACCGTATCAGGTTAGGGTCAACGTCACTTAACTATTTGCGGTCAGATTATTCTTTTTATTCTGAAATTACTTGTTTTATATTAAGGACACTGAGATAGTAAAGCAGTACGTTACCACCAGTATCACGCAGCCAGTCATCATGCGTAGTAGTTATGGAGAGATTAAACTCTGTACGAGGGATGTCTTTTAAGTTTTTCATATGGAAATAAAACAATACGGTAGGTAGTTTCAAATGACTTCATTGTTTTTCGAAGTATTCTCCACGAAGATTAAAACACATCTGCATGCGCTCGAACCAATTTTCGAAGCATTTTTGAATGCGTCAACTGCTTCTTCTGGTGACTGGAACCTTTGACCACGCAGTCTGTTTTTAATTTTCGGGAAAGGAAAGAAATCGTGAGGACTTAGATCGGGACTATATGGAGGATGGTTCATTAATTCCACGTTTTCTTCCGTTAAATGCTGCCTTGCTTTTTGAGCTGTGTGCGAGCTTGCATTGTCTTTGTGGAGGATGATTCTTTTATCGGGGTTGATTTTTCGAAGCTCGGTGATGACTTTTGACAAACAAATGGTGGTATACCAATCCGCAGTAAGCGTTCTTTGCTCATTAAGAGGAATTGTTGCAATATGACCCGCTCTTGACACAAATGTCGCGACCATCTTTTTCGAAACACTTCGAGAACGGATGACTTTTGTTGGCTTTTCTTCACCTTGGAACACCCAAACAGCCGACTGACGTTTATTTTCTGGTTCATAACAGTAAATCCACGATTCATCACCACTAGCAATGCTATACACATTTTTTGAGTTTCCGGAATTGAAACCGTCAAGCGTTTTTTGATACCAATTAATCCTGGCTGCTTTCTGCTGTTCAGTCAACTGGTGGGGTATCCAACGAGAAACAAATTTTCTTACTCCTAGTTCTTCATGGAACATTTTTTGAATTGAGGTTTTTGAGATCTTCAAGGAGTTTGCGCACAGCATCGACGTTTTCCCGGGTGACTGCCGTGTTTGGTGCACCCTGGGATCGTCTCTAAGACTCACCCGTCCACGTTTGAATTCTCCATACCAACGGCAAATTGTCGACTGATGTGGCGCTTCGTTGCCGAAAACAGACAGTAACTCAGCAAGGCATTCTTGTTGCGATAATTGTCTCTGAAAGTTGTAATAAATTATGGCGTGAAAATGTTCTCGGTTGAGTTCCATTTTTCTAATTTAAGTTTACTAAAGAGTGAGGTTAAGATTCAGTACTGACGTTCGATCGGCGCGGCCTACTATGTTTCTATATGCAAAACTTAAAAGACATCCTTCGTATCTTCGTTTTGTGAAATCATACAAATCAGACACAATTTGGACCAGGAGTGTCATTGATTAACATATGGGGGCTGATTCTAACATGGATGATCATTATTTTTCTTTTATTATATATCCGAGGGTGGAGTGGGATTCCGGACGGTCTCTGAAGAAAGTGGCGAGTCTGGTACACGAACGGCTCTGACGCCAGGGTTCTAGCACTAGACTTTCACTGCCTCTCAGTAGACACACTACTATTTTTCAGGTGGAAATCTATGCGATTCTAGCTTGCGTATTCCGCATTCTGGGGAGGAAAGCTCCTAACAGAAGAATAATAACCTTATCCAGCAGCCAGGCTGCAGTGAAGACACTAAGTGCCTCCAAGATTACTTCGAGCCTTGTGTTACAATGCAGGGAGGCTCTGGATGGTTTAGCAGCGAAACATCTCTTATCGCTAGTGTAGGTACCGAGGCACGCAGGATTAAAGGATCGGCGGACAGGCCTTTTGGACCTGAGCCAGCCCTAGTGGTACCGGGAGGGTAACGGTGAAGTGGATATCTGGAAAACATTCCGTGAAATGGAAAAGTATCTCTAGATACACCTCCTTCGGGAGCTCATATTAGAGCCTAGAGCTAAGGATATACGCTTCTGGGTGCCTTTGGATAGAGCCAACCTAAGGTTGTCGATGGGACTGGCCATAACACGATGATGTGCCACCAGCTCGTGATGGAGTTGGCTGAGGATCCCAGGTTTGAGGGCTGAGGGGTAGAGGAGTCCTCGGCGCATGTTCTGTGTCGCTGCGAGGCTCTGAGTTACTACAGGCAGACTATACTAGGGTCAAACATTTTAGACCCGTGAACTTTATGTAGCTAGAACTCAAGGATATACTCAACTTCGCTACGAGCTTGAGGCTTAAGGAATGTCTTAGTGCATCAGAGCCCTATACGTCGGCTTCTTGTAGTGACCGGTATGCCTCTAATTTCATTTATTCATTCATTCATCCAATGATTCCAACATGGAGTATTATTCTAACTTCACGACATAAACACACACAATTGTCATGGCGGATCAAATGCTTGATGGTAAGGCGCCATCGAAATTAATTACAACGATCAAAATTCAGTTAGAATCAGAACCCAGAGAATACCAATCCAGTGATTCTAATGCTATGTAATACTCGCCATCCTGGAGTTCATGCTCTTTCCAGAAAACTACCCAGCACCTATGATAGACCATTATGATAACATGATAAACTTTGCAAAAACGAGGGTTCGTATTATTTTTGATTTATAGCTATATAGAGATAAAAATGAATTGTAATATATCACACATACAGGTACATTGTTAGTCAAATGAGCGAACAGCTAAAACATTATTTGATGGAACTCAGCAATACAACCTTTGTTATGCTTGACACGCAAATCGAAAGTTTCCGTTGGGTCTGACTATATCTGCTATTCCTACTTGCCATACTATTTCATTAGTTACCGTTTCATGTCTAATAAAAAGTAAGTAAAATAAGCAAGTAAATAATAATAATGATAATAATAATAATAAATTGCCTTTATTCGATTATTTTACAATAATATGTCCAGCATACAGCGATAGGCATTGATAAGTAAAATTTTGAGAATCAAATCTGTGTTACCCTGATGGTATTTTTTAACTCAACCGTACATACTAATATGAAATTGATCTCAACCTCTCAAAAAGCAATAATGGTATGTGACCAATATACTACGAATTAGTGGTAATCCCAGAAGACCATTAAGCTGATAAGGGTTATATGACAAAATGAGAGAAACCGATGAAGAGACTACAGGAGGTGCTTCCATACTTTTGTTAGATCAGGCCCCAGACCGCTTATAACACATTACGTTCAAAGATGCCACGTGACCCAATGAAAGGCTCCACTTAATTTGTAGATGAAGCATTAATCTCTCATTTGGAACACCAAAATGCTTCCGAAGTAATCGAACAAACATGAAATTGTCGAGATTGCAGAAATATATTGGCATTAATGTAACAATTGAAACTCATCCTGAGGTTTTCATGCTGATAACCTTCCATGTTAGTCTGGCCGCTAAGTGGAACCACAAAGATCAAGACGATACCGACCCCTCCTCCTTTTCAGTAAATACAGACTTGAGAAAAAATGATCACGACAAATGGTGTAGGATTTTATTTAGGCAATCTAATGGTGGCTTTGACAATTACATTGATCTTAACCTCCAAGGTCATTTCAAGGTCAACTTGGTTTTCTTAATTGGGACCCTATACTTGTGACCTCTGAAATGGAAAGGGGGACATTTTCATTTTAAATATGTCATTGGCCATGACCTTGGACTTGACTTTGGAGAGCACATCAAGGTCACTGATCGACCTTGCCTTCACTGGTCGGGCCACCGATCTACCTAGCCTTTACTTCCCGGGTCACCGATCGACCTTGCCTTCACGTGCCGGTAGCACGTGTATTACGTACATATCTTGAAAAGTGACAGGTCGGTATTTTTTGACATTACGTAGGTTTACCTACAAGTTGTTGACTTAGCATTAGCTGATGGGCACTTGTTGTGAACTCGTTTTTTAGTTGGACGTGTTGCCTAAAGCTTCTGTTATCAGTGCTTGGCTCTGATGTGATATAAAATCCGCATTATTGGAGGTGTAAGTAGTATAATATAGATAGAAGGAAATGGCAGTGCTTAGGTGCATAGTTAGGGTTTGTCAGCTAATAATATGTGTTGTTGTCTCAAATACACTTATTTGAGATTCAAAGCTAGAAATTAGTTGCGCATCCACTTTTTGTTATTCATTCTGGAAATTACATATGCAAATTAGCTCAATTTCAAAAATGAAAGAGATAAGAAAAGAAAATCCCTGGTTCCTGAAGTAACAGATGAGAAAGTATAATATGCTACAGACAGGCATATTTATGAAAGTAAGAAGGCTGTTAAATTATTTATTAGTTCCAATCATTTATATTTTACAGAATTGCGATGTCACTAGAAAATACAGATTAGCGCCTAGATGTGAGGCACTGCGAAAATGTTGCGTGATTCCTGCGATGTGACTTTGTAACGCTTCCTTTCCGCAAAAAGTCCAGAAAAGATGGAATGCAATGAAGATTCCAACTTTTCTGCACAATCACAGAAAGGGGGTTACCATTAGCTTCCGGTAGCTCAGTCGGTGGCATGAAGACATCTACAGGCGTGTAGCTGTGTGTCGACCATGGCATGGCTAGAGGATAGAAGAACAAACAGAACACAAAAATTTAACAGATTTTATTTAACAAAAAAAAGGCATTTTCATTACATTACAATTTTACAAAAATAACAAAATAAGTTTTATATCTTTGGCGCTGCTATAACGCTATCGACTTATCTTTCGCTGGTCCATTTTTACTCGACTGAAGCCAGGATGGCCAGGGGCTTGAAGGGGAGGTCCCAGTTATGAGGGGTGACCTCCATATAGTGGCTTCACAACCAGTTGTAGGCGAAGTTGAAGGCGATGGCGCTGCCAAGGTACATGCATGGGTGAAAATATTGGCCAAGGCTAGGCAAAGTGAAAGGGAAAGAGAAAGGGGGTGGCTCCAATCTGAAAAAGAACCGTGTGCATTAGCAACGTGCCCTAATGGCCAAGGCATTTCCAATCTCAGTCTGCCTCAAAAGAGAACCAACGATTTTCTAGGTTAGAATTACATTATATAGTTTGATAAAATCAAACCGAAAATTGGAAATGCCTTTCATAAAATAAAATCATGAAATAGCAAAAAAAAGCGTAGAACAAGATGGTGGTCATCAAAAATTTCTCCACATGCTTCTGATATAAATACATAATCATCGAATATTCATAATCAACGTACTTATAATTTCACTGAACTATGAATATATATACGCGCACAGAGGTAAAATCGATTTCCACCTCGATTTGATTAAAGTTATGGCGAATGATCGAAGTAGTCGAAAATGACGTTCGATGGATATTTTAAAATCGTACAAGAAATAAATCACTTACATATCGATTATCTATAAACTACAGGCAGATCCAGCAATAAAACTGTATAGTATTATAAAACTCACCATTTTTGTCCTATACGGACACACATTCTAGAAAATTCTAGCACATGGTGCTATATAACCTTGTGCTACTGAGAAGAAATTTCTAGCCGTTGTTCGATTGGCGGCTCAAGTGAAAAGGAAGCGCGAGGAAGATCGCAGATCAGGAACTCCGCATCAAGCGCTCCAAGCGGAAAATTTTCCAAGTAGAAGAGCTAGAGATGGGATTAATGAAATGATAATCGAGAAGTGATTTAATAAATACGATCGGACGGTGAAACCGTTACAACTTAATTGCACACAACGCGGGTGAGGTGGCGATTTCCGCAATGCTCCTCAAAGTTTTTGAAAAGACAAAAAAGGGAAAAGTCGTAATTTATAACTTTGAACATAACCCGTCCTCAGAAAGGACAACATATAAATCACCCATCAGGCACTATACATAATCAATCAGATGCGATCTTGCTACTCAACCAGCTTTCTTTCTTTCTCATCTTCTCAGAGATAAACACTACAGACTACTCGGCTTCACAAAACATATACTTGCTATCTGCAATCAACAACGCGTTGAATCATTCCTTCAT